TTTGGAGCATTTTTTCTACATTTTTCACCATACTTTAATGATAGTGGAAGAAATACAAGTAGAAGAATAAATTTTGAAAATATGTTTTCTAAATTAAAATCAAATAACTTCATTTAATATGCTGAGCCATCCAAAATATCGGTGCAAAAGGTTGAAACTAAGATTTTAAAAACTATTCATTATATAGCGTCCTCCTTGCTCCTGTTTAAACGATATATTATAAATAAACAATATCCAGAGAATTAGCCTTCCAACTTTAAAAGTTAGTTAAGTTAAAAGTTATTCTTAAATTTTTCAAAAAGTGGCTGATTTTTTAAAATTTTCTCTACGAAAAATGCATTAATAATGGTGGTATATAAAAAAAATTATGTGTTTTTTGATTCTCTATTCTAATTCGAATCTAAAAAAACGATTTTCTTTAGATTATTCCGTACAGAATTCGGGGAATAACTAATTTGTGGACTGAATTTGGTTTTTTATGTTCTATTAACAACTTTTTAATATATAACGGAGGTGGTTTGCTCAAAGTCCTAACATGACAAAAAAGTCAGCCACGATCTCACCTCAAAGTCAATAACGTCTTACTAAACAATCCGCAAGATAAGGCCGAAGCTTTCAAAATTACACTTCAGGCCACCCTCGTTTCACAAAATAACCCCAATTTCAATGAAAGATCCAAAAGAGCCACCGAACGGAGAGTGGACGATATATTCTACTACCCTCAGCCACTTGACGGACCATATCCTCACCCGATGATGGCGCCAGTGACTGAGGAAACCGTCAGTCAGATGTGTAAAATAGGAGAAAACACGTCTCCTGGCCCAGATGGCATCCACAGAAGATGCCTCAAGAATCTTCCACAGAATATCATCCCGTTGCTCACCAATATAATCAATGCATTTCTTACGCTGAGCTACTTTCTTATCCCATGGAAAGTGGCCAGCACTGTCATGGTCCCTAAAAAAGGGAAAACCCTCACCAACCCTGAATCGTATAGACCAATTTCACTACTGAGCACCCTAGGTAAAGTCTACGAGAGGATCCTCAAGGAGAGACTCGTAGAATTCCTAGACGCTCACTTCCTTATTCCCAATTACCAATTCGGATTCAGGGCTGGACATTCCACACAAAATGCATTGGTTGAAGCAACAACTTTCATTTCTCAATCCATTAACGAAAGGAAGCACGTCGTAGGCATATTCCTCGATGTCCAGAAGGCTTTCGATCAGGTCTGGCACGCAGGCTTGATCGAGAAACTCCACCTTGCTGGACTGCCAACACCTTTCGTTAAACTAATAAATTCCTATCTCTCCCATAGGGCGGTTAGGATCAAAATAGGAGAACATCTCTCCACTCCATTCACTCCACAAGCAGGAGTACCCCAAGGCTCAATACTTGCTTCAATATTATACACAGTCTACAATAGCGACATCCCCCGCCCACAGCAAGGATCAGAGTCTCTACTCCTATTCGCTGATGATACAGCCATTCTCACCTCAGGTTCCTACAGGGAAGGAGAGTGACGGTCTGTATTCGAAAAATCGCTTTACGAGAACTCTCAATTGGAAGGCTGACGTCCAAGAATCCTTTGACAGGATGAGACAAAGGCTCAACCTCCTGAAAGTGCTAGCCGGTAAACTAGGAGGAACGTCCTCTAACACATTGTTGCACACCTACAAGACTTTTATCAGACCGATAATCGAATACAAGGCATGCGTTTACCTCTCCCTGAGGAACCATGAACTCAACGCCATTACTGCCACCGAGCGTAGAATCCTACGCTTCTGCATGAGAAAAGATTGGCTGTATCCATCAGCCCACATTTATGCACTAACCAACATCACGCCGATTAAGGACAGAATCCTAACCCTCAGTAGGAAGTATCTCTTAAGAAACATAGCTGGCTCGAACAACCGAGCAAAACAAACATTAAAGACACCTTGTTCACATAGAGGGCGAATACTCACCAGGCATCCCGCCAAAAAAGTTCCATTCCCTCCAGCTAAACTTCTACATAACGCTGGACCCGAACTTCCTGAGGAGTATTTTGATATTCTTGAATCTTTCCCCATCTATTATCGCAGATAAACTGCGCACCAAAAACACCGATAAAGAGCCGTTCCTACTGTATGGCTGGTAACCCTGAAGTACCTCACACTGCATGCTAGGCAAACCCAACTTCTTCTTGTGCGTTCTATCGATTCTTATCGGTCACACAAATAAATCACCTTCTTTTCCCTCTTTTCCTTAAATCGCGTTTCGTTCAATTGACGTTTTTCTCACAACCCCCACAACTCCGTAAAAAAACAAGGAGTTCCCCATCCCTTGAAGAGGCGCAAGCCTAAACAAGGTTAAAACTTAAGGTCGGCGGTGGTTTGTTGTTAAATTTTGAAAGCCAAAAAAATAGAAGCTTCGTCCAATATTTCGTTCATTTGGTAGGTATTTTGTATATATACTTTGAGTTTATAACTCTTTTCCTCTATCCCTCTCTCGTTCTCTTTCCTACACACACTCTCTCCCTCCCTTCCTCTCCTACTACTATCAAATAACGGCAAAGTGTAAACTTGAAAACAATAAAGCAAGTGGTCTATATCGAAGACATCTTATATAACTGCATCTTTTACACAACATAATATTGCTGTAGTAAATCAAACCTTGCAATACCGAGTTCAGATCCTATAATCAAACATCTGCAATAATAAATCTAATAATAATCATTTTCCTATAAACATACATGTGTACGCTGGTGTTTATTGCCTAGGTACGTTCATAGTCAACGGGTACAAATTGAAAGTAGCGTTCTAAAACAATAAACAGGGCTTTTTCAATTTCCTCATTCATTTCAAACACATTTCGATATCAGTTGAAATATATCAACACAAGTTATAAGGAAGAAATCTATTAGATGTCGACACCAATCAACAGAAAATTAGGGGCAAGCAAATTAAACCAAAGTTTATATTTTAATATTTATTTGTTAAACGGGTTTTCCTTTTCACGGCAGTTAATATATAATTAAAAAAAACAATACCATATAAAATCTTATTTGAATAACATCTACTGATAATAATAGTACGAAAGAGTTACATCAAAATAATTTAATCGCAAAACAAAACAAATTATTACAAGATAAAGTGAGTCTTTGCTATGGAGGCCTATTTTTAGAGTAAAATAGTAAAGGTAATTAACTAAGTGAAAAGAAATGCTAAATAGTTGATTTGATCTGATAGAGCTTAGTAATTATCCAAATATATTTTAAACCTTTATCAAACAGTCGAACATCTCCGATAAAAGCATTCAATTTGATTTGAATTTCATTGTGAGTTTGACGACGATTAGCCCTACGATTAATAACGGTATTAGCGAAAATTTTTGCTGCATTTTGTATAGCATCTTCGTTTCATTATTTTGGAAGCAAATAGTTCACAATTTCATCTAAGATATCGTTCTGTACCCCCCCCCCCTTCTTCAAGCGGAAGTTGCAATGTATTTTTAATATCACCAAATCAAATTTAATAATTTTCAACACTTCTTTTCAGCCACTTCTCCATCACTTTCTGAGTTGTTTTTTAAGCTGCTCTGTATAGCTTTTTGTAGATTTAGTTTTCGGTTCTCTGCCTTGAGTTTCTCCACATCTTTTGCCTCCAGCTGCTTTTTCCCTCCTTTCTTCCCTTTTGTCAACCTTTTTCTCTACGTTTTTCGCTGTTTGTGTTTTAGTTGAGGATGCTTGTAGACTGTTATCGCATTGCTAGTATTTTCCAGTTTCTACAATATATTTGGCTTATTCTTGAATTAAATTTTTAGCATCTTTAACTAGTGTCCCAATGAATGCTTTACTAAAGACGTACGGTTCGTCAAAGTTAGCTCTGTTTTTTAGATTAAAACTCTAGTGATGCGAAAAATAAACAGAAAACGCATTCGGAAGTAAAGAAGATAGCAAATGCGTTCGGATTTTAAAATTATTTTATTATGGAACTACGACTGGGAGAGGGTCAATTGAACTCAATCGTTATTGAAATTTAAATAATTATGAGTAATTATTCCACGTAATAATATGTAAAGAAAATTATCGATTTTTATTGTTTTTAAAGAAACATATTGTAAAAAATTGATATTTAGAACTCAAATTATTAATAAAATGATTTCAAATTTTGTTTGCTTCTACAGTAGAATAGATGTCTGAGTTTTTCGCCAACGAAAACCAATTTTATGTAATACTTTTCGTAAACTTTTATACAATCATGTGTAATTAATTTCATTTACAAATTTCCTGTATATCCCTCGTAACGTAGGAACTTTTTTTCGTAAACGTGAAAATTTATTACAAATCAAGATTTTCCTTATCCATATTATCCAACAGTCTTGGTCTCACTTTTTTGTCTTTTAATATGGTGTATGGAATGAATCACTTTCACCATCTTCAACTGATCTCATTTCCTTTGAAATTCGCTTTATAGAACCAACACTCACCAGTTGCGCGTGAAACGTTCTTGAATTTTCGTTAGTTCTATTATCAGATATTTAGCCACCGCTTCTTCTTTCATAAAATATATCACGTTTGCTATAATTTCACGAGATTTACCACTCAAAACTTTACGATGAACTTTTGATTTAAATTCCATTAACGGTAACGGTACCGGATTAGTAAGTCTGTAAGTCCTACACCAGTGTAATTAATATGCATCTGATCTGTTTGCTTCTGCTAACAAAATGGAACTGAGTATATTCGGGCTACTGACGGTCTGACGGATCCTCCCCTTCAAATTTATATGCTTGTCAAAACTCAGAGACATTGCAATTCTTGACGAGCTGTAGTTCTCCAAGAGAACGGTTTGAGAACATTTTTGGTTATTTAATACTAATTTTAAAGTCTAGAATCATTTCTTGATCTGTTTGATTAAATATAGAAGGTAAATTAATCTGTAAATATATAAGATTGTTAAATCACTAATACTGATCTGCCCTTGTTGAACTAACTTCTCATTAATTTCTTAAGTTATTCACTGTATATATGGGCTATCAATAAGTTGTCCCAATAGTGACTGTATAACCTTATTAGTTTTTAAAACTTCATTTAGGTGATCATTTATGTGTGCCAAATCTACACCTATGATCTTAGCTAACTCCACTAAATTTATTCTACCATTGTGGTCATATAATTCTCTCTTTATATCTAATACTAACTGAGCAGGTGTAAGATATTTCTTATCATCGCTGGTAAATATTGGATCTAACATTTTTATTCTGGCCATAATAAGATTTGTATACAGTTCCTTTCAGACAGCTTTTTTGTCTTAGAACTCAGCTGCAGTGTTTGAAAATCAGCAGCCAAACGTTTGACCTCTTCCCAATCTACCATTTCTTAATCAAACAGAAGAATTTATATAATTTAAAGAAAATTACTCTACTAGTAAACAAAATTAACCATGTGGAATATAGACAAAAAAAATGGACAAATAGAAAAAATGGAAGAAAATTTCAAAAACAACGAAATTAGAGGGGCTTGCGAATACATTAGAAAAGATTAAAAGTGGGTATAAACCTCAAATAAGTCTATGTAAAAATGAAAGTGGGTAAGTAATCAGTGACCAACAAAAAGTCACAGAAACCTGGAAGTATTATTTTCAGACCCTACTTGATACACGGGAGTTGACGAAATACCAACAGAATTGTATAAGGTAGGTAGCGACCACCTAGCAAGTCGAATCCACATGCTCATCAAAGACATATGACAAAAAGAAAAAATACCCGACGACTGGGAGAACAGTATATTATGCCCGATCTATAAAAAAGGAGACAAACTCCAGTGCAAAAACTACCGTGGAATGTCTCTACTATGTACAACATATAAAGTCTTATGTACAATTATTTACAGGCAACCAGATCTTGAGTAAATCATGGGAACATGGCATTGCTGTTCACAACGTGTTTGTAGACTTCAAACAGGCATACGACTCAGTCAAAAGGAACAAACTCTACAATATATTGGCTGAATACACACAATACTCATTGAAGCCACAATGGATGAAACTCAGGCATGTGTACAAATACAAAACAACCGGACAGACTTTTTCAAAATTTCGCAGGGATTAAAGCAGATAGATGGGCTGACCCAACTTTATTTAACCTGGAACTGGAGTATGTTGTTAGGCAAATTAAAACTAGAGGAAACCTACTGACCAATCGAACGGTTCAACTGTCCGCTTATGCCGATGATATTATTATTATGAGTAGAACGTCAACAGGAGCACAGGAAACATACACAGGGTTAAAAAAAGGAAACAAAAGGCTAGGTCTGAAAATTAACACAGAAAAAACAAAAATAATGATACAGACTAGAATAAATATAGTTCCACAAAACATACATGAAGATGATATTGAAACGGTTGGAAAATTTACATACCTGGTAGTAGAAATATATGCCGACGGATCAGAAGATGGAAAAATACGGAAGAGAATACCGCGGTCTAAAAATGTCCACCGAAATACAAAGATGAGAATCTATAAAACCTTAATTCGACCAATAGCATGCTATGGCAGTGAAGCATGGGTCCTGAAAAAAACACCCAAAATCAAACTAGATACATTTGAAAGGAAAGTACTGAGGAGAATATTAGGACTGTGAGGGAAAACGGAATCTTCAGAAGTCGATACAACAAGGAGCTTTATCAACTTGGGACATGTGATAAAAATGGGAGAGGATAGGTTACAAAAAATAGCACTGAATGCTAGAATGCAGGGAAAGAGACCGGTTGGGAAGCCAAGAAAGCGCTGGGAAGACACGGATAAGCAAGGATGGAGGAAAAAATAAAGGAGGCCAATCCAGTGCCGTAGAAGAAGAAGAACAAGTATGGACTAAGAAATGTTTTTGCAATTGTATTTAAACGTTACACTTAATCCAAATATATCAATTATACTGCAAATAAAAAAGTTGCGAAGAATACTTTGGGCTTAAAAATAACTCAAAACAGACCACTAGACAACACAATAAAAGACTTAAGAAGGCATATTCTTTGTCTGTATTGTCTATATTTTTATTAAAATTCAAAATAACCTCTTTTTTTAAAATTAAATTAATATAACTATTTTTTTTCTTAACTTTTTAACAGTTACACAATTGCTTACCCTATATTATCATTAACTGGTAAATTTTTCGTCGTAAAACTAAAGTTTATTCTATAGTTTGCCCTTCTTTCGGTATCGTATAAAAACATTAAAAGAACTTTGTCCATTAATCAACCGCACTAATTGCTTTACATCTTACCCAAATTCCTAGGAGGTGGTTCGACAGACAAAAAACAGTGATTTATCGCGAAAAGAAAAAAAGAAAAGCAAGCGGTTTTTGTAAAAGACAATAAAACTATTTGAAGGAAAACAGACGTAAAGACAATGGTAATTAGGCCACCTGCGGTTGTCTCCACTTCACCTTATTTTTGGAAATGTTTCATGGATGGTCGAGGAAGTTAAATACTGGCTTCTGAATAATAAAATCATCAGTAAACTTCTAAGAAGTATTTTTCAGCACCTTTTTTATTTTGTAAACTTTTTTACCGCCCAGAATGATTTGCTTGTATATACCTAGTTGTGAGACTTTCGCCTCATACTTTCAGAGCATAGCTTTCCTCGCAAGTTTTAGATTTTTTTATGTTAGATGAGTAGAACAACAATTCACGACAGAATAGTTAACAACATTAATTAATAAATTTATAAAACACGATAAAATATCGAAAGAATGGAAAACGAGCGATCTAATTCTACTAGTCAGAAAGGAGATAAAAAACAGCCAGAAAACTACAGAGGTATAAACTTGTAACATTTTTTTTATTATTAATATATCAAATTATTTTTAATTCCTTTTACCCCCGTGCGATACGCCGATGATTAGGAATCCCAGTGTTTACGATAGGAAAATATTATTGTAGACACCAAGCTGAAATGGAATTCCCTAATTAAGAAAGGTTTTTAATCCTTCCGTCTTAATACTCTGTATGAAAAGAACAAATGCTTTCCGGTATGGAGTTTCTTTTTCATAAATTGGTAATTTTCGCCGAAGGCCCGTATCTTTTGACTATAATATAATCCTAAGGATTTTAATATTCCCAGGTCCAATTGTTAATACCGATTATTTTACCTCAAACTTTCCAATAGTCGTTAAGGCCTTACCTTCTGAGAAATACATACGACTGTCCGATGATTTTAAGTGGAGGATATACCTTCTTCTTCTTTTTTCTTGGATAGTTGGTGAAATTTTTAGGAAACCAACTTACTTCTCGGTGGGCTCTTGTTGAGTGAAGTGATATTTCGTGATGCTGTTTGCTCACGATATTTCTTATCTTATCGTCGCTGTGAATTATTTTCTAAGTGTGTGTACACTTCATATTTGAGTTTTCTTTCCTTAGACTATATTAAATTATATATAGTTCTACACTACCTTTAATGGTTATTAAATTCAGTGTTTAGTACCAGAAAAGTATTAAATTCAGTGAATTAAGCGGCCTTCGTCAAGATCTACTGTAAGTAATCTTTATCTACAATTTTCTGGGCGAGTAATATGGTATGGTACCATATCACCTGCCATTATCTGGACGTATCATCTATATCTTCACCTGTAGATTGCCGATTTTTGAATGTAATTGAACCATTCAAGAAATTTCTATAAATATTACCTATGAACATACAAGTCTCAGTTTTTTATTAAATAATAGTGCGAGATAGTTAATTGACTTAACCAAGTGCGGTTTGGTTTATGTTTTCATTCCTGTAACCTTTTTGTTTTTTTTTTTTGTAAATTTAGAGTTAAGTAATTTTTGCTATCTTTTGTAATTGTGTATTAAGTGTAGTACTTAATATCTTTATTATTTGTTTATATATTGCGTTGACCAGATTTATTTGATAATTTACTGTTGGTATCTTTCCTTGGGTTTGATCTCTGAACCTAAATATCTTTTCTTATCTCTTTTCTTTTCTAAGGTTTTCTTAATTTTCTCCTTAACCCCAAAAAATTGAGTGGCGCCCTGTTTCTATCTTCTCTTATCTTTGGTAATTTTACCCATCTGTCTTTTTGTTTATTTCTGTATCTTTTCTAATATCTCTTATCCTATCTTTATCTATTTCTTGTCTACATTGGTTATCTTTCTAGCACCACCCAAAAAAGATTTCCGAGGTTACAAACTTATTAAACACTACTCTAAAACTTAAAAGTTTAGCAGATGAACAACAGGGTTTTGGTAGTGGAATATCGTGTACAGATGCAATATTGGTTATAAATGAAACAAATTACTGAGAAATCACTCGAGTATAATAGATCAGCATTTCTGTGTCTGATTGACCTAAGGTTTGACAGAGTAAGACCCAAAGATGTAATCCATCTTCTGTATAATAGAGAAGTTCCCGTAAATGTTATAAAAACTGTCGAAAACATCTACCAAAACAACAAAATGGAAGTCAGAATAGATGGACAACTTACAGAACCTATAGAAATAGGCAGCGGAATAAGACAATGGGATTCATTGAGCCCCATGCTCTTCAATTTGATCATGGATGAAATCATCAAAAACGTTAACAAAGGAAGAGGATACAGAATGGGAAACAAAGGAATTAAAATACTCTGTTACGCAGACGAAGCAATATTGATAGCCCAAGATAAGGATAGTCTGCAAATACTGGTTCACAGATTTAACATAAGAGCAAAAGAATTTAATATGACAATCACATCTCAGAAAACTAAAACAATAGTACAGCAAAGAACCAACCAGATGTAAAATAGAAATTGATGACATCAGTATTGACAATAAAATACCTGGAAATTTCAATGTCTACCTATGGAGACCTGGACAAAGAAGTAGGAGATCAAGTACAATAAGCAAACAGCCTGGCAGGATGCCTAAATAACACCATATGGCGAAACAGACACATTAACACTGAAATGAAGTCAAAAATTTATAAATGATGATCCTTGTCAAACCTCAGCAGAAAAACGAATAGATGTAGATAAGGATACTAAGAAAATTGTAAAGTTGAATTGAAGTGAAAAGTTGAAATAGTACTGAATAACGAAGAAAACTTAGAAATATCGGGGCTCTACTTCATGGCTATAACACTAACGATAATGATGATGGTAGGATGTATGTTGTTAGTTTTAGTTAAACTTATTCCCTCTTCAAAAAAAATTAGACTTATTACTAACTTTCGTTATTAGGAAATATTTCGTTATAACTAATGAAATTGGAAAGGAATT